TTGACACAACCAATAAAATCTTTAGAATCAGCTGTGGGGCGGAGTTTGCACTGAAGTGGATTGGGGGGGAAGTGCGCATGCGTGTCATGTGCCTGTCTGTCAATGGGAGGAAGCCACGCCCTATTTTGGAGCTCCCACCCCGTTTTGGAGTTCCCGCCCCCATTTGGAGATCTCCAGGTTGCAGTTATACCCTTCTCAATATTTTCCTCAAAAGCCTTAAATTCTTTGCGACTGAAGAAAGAGAGACATGAACATCCTGGATGACATGGGAGTGAGTAAATTATCAGGGAATTTTTATTCTGAAAGTGAAGTAATTCTTTTAAAAACTGTTGCTGTCATGTACTCTGTACTGTAGCATGCAAGATACGTATTTAGTTGTGTGTGTTGTGTTCGCTCCGCGCAGCTTGTAGGTCTCCGTCTAACCGGCTAACAGCAATATCTGTTCGCTCGCAATTGTCTAGAAATGTGTAGTGAATGTTTGTCATTGTTATTAGTTCTGATAAAGAATAGAACAATATGTTGGTGTACAAACTGCAGTGCTTTATCAATACGTTTCTGCATTGGGCTAACGCATATACCATGGCTGTTTGGGTGTTTACCACCGAGCTGACTGTGGGCTAAGTAATGGTGATGGGCGTTCCGTTATTGACATGCGCTGCATGCGGTAGACCAATCACAACAGACTGGGTCATCAGACCAATCACCGCAGTTTAGCGTCACGCAAAGGAGGGGTTGGAAAAATGAATCATTGAGCGAACCGTTTGGGAGTCGTTGAGCAAAAAAGGAAAAAAATAAATGCAAATTATTAGACAATGAAAGTGTTTTTTGACCTGGCATGCATTTGACCTGTTGTTGGGGACTCCCAAAACCAAAATATGAACCTTTCATAACACATAATAGGGGCACTTTAATTAATAAATGGGTTTAATTTAGGCTAAAACATGTCACAATCAAATTGCAGATTAACGAATTGATTAATTTGACCTACTGACCTTTTATTTTAAAACATCAGGATCTTCAGGACTAGAATTTTCAGTAGCTCATGCTCTGATAATTGGAGTGATTGCAGGACTGAGTGTCACATTTCTGCTCATGTTCTTACTGGCCCGGCTGTGGTGCTGCAAACACAACAAAGGTTCATCTCATCTCTTTAAATCAGCATAGACTACTTATACAGACTGTCTTAACTATAATGACCTTTGGAAGTGTTTTATGGTTAAACTGAGGGCAGGAAAGCTGTTTGTGAATCATTCCTGAGGTTTCTCTGTGTTTGAGTAGGTGCAGGATCTCCGTCTCCCTCTACTGAGCATCAGCTGCAAAACATCAGTCAGACGTCAGAACAGAAGAAGAGTGGACAAACACCACCGCGGTCCGGTCAGTCTTAATCAATAACCCAGAAATACTCACAATATCTTTACATTAATAGCTGTATTTAACATAAATGTTTGAATATTAATGTGTGATTAGATAGGTTACAGTGACATGGATGGATGGATGGATGGATGGATGATATTTGCATATCTGACCTATATAGAATCATGTAGTTTGGTTTAAATGATTTAATT